GAAAAGTTAGGTGTCCAGACCTATTGTGCAGAGACTTTAACATAACTGTATCTAAATGTAGAAACTAATTCCAGCAGCAAACAATGGAGTGATACCAAGAGCCAAGGCTTACATAGGGCTTCTTAAAGATGCAAGCACTAGTCTGATTTACATATATTAACTCATTTCATCATGACAATGCTATGAATAGACAACATTGTTTTATACATTTTATAGGTGAGAAAATCAGCCTCCAAGATCCCACAGCTTATAGGATACATTCACACTACTCAAGCCCAGTTGATTTGACTTGAAGGTTGGCACTCTTAACCATTATACTGTAATGCTTGATATTAAACAATTAGTCTCTAGAATACACCTGTATTCAGGTTCAGAGTCTAATACTTCCACTTCCTCAGGTAGATTTTATATCTTTTATTGTGCTTCAATTTTCTTGTTTATAAACTGGAAAAAAATGATGGCATATCTAGGAAACTTATTTTCAAAGAGAGAAGCAAAGCATAAAGCACCACATTGAAAACAACAAGGGGCAAGGAGCTTGGATTGATGACTTTGACTTTTTATTCTACCTCTGTATCTAAATGACTTTTAGCAAACATCCAAGAGACATTGAAGAGTGTGATGCAGTTCTCTAGACGAAAGCTGAATCTTTGACATATCACCTGATTTTTCTAGTTCCATTTTTCAACTACAGATTCCTCATTCACCCTCAGGCTAATGGCATCTTTCAGGAGGTCCTTTTGGCTATGGTTGACTCAGTTCTGAGTCAACATTTCTATACCATTTGGGACTCATAACCTCCAGAAAAAAGATTAACATTAAGGATAAGTTCAAACAGTATACATTTCTAAATACAGTAAGTTAACAACTTTCTACCTTTAAATGTAGCAATTCTTCTATACCTTTGTAAAATGTGTACGTTTAGCCATCAATGAATATATTCAATACTGATATGTGACGTTTTCAACATTACTTTCACAAGATTCAGACCAAATAAAGTTTAAAATGATATGTAGTTGCCAACATATTTTCACTTTCATTTATCTACCAAGAAAATTGCATGTAAGAAGGCACAATAAAAACCTTTAAACAATGTTATACCTGTTTCTATTATCCCAATTTTATTGTATTTAATCTTTAGTTTTTGTTAATAAAAGAAAAACAAGCAGACCTGTTTAAAAATTACTTATTATAATATTATTTAAACCAGAAATGATATAAAAATATATGCAATGAAGTAATTGAAGGTTTCATTACTATTGTAGTTTTATTTCTTAGTTTTCCAGGTTAACAGTATGTGGCTTGTACAAAGCAAATTGTGAGATGTTGCCAGGGTGGTTGACCATTGTGATAACTGGTCATAATTTTGTTTTTCATTTCTCCAAATTATGTTTTAAAAGAATAGAAAGAGAAAAAAGGCTGGGCGCAGTGGCTCATGCCTATAATCCCAGAACTTTGGGAGGCTGAGGCTGTGGATCACGAGGTCATGAGTTTGAGACCAGCCTAACCAACATGGTGAAACCCCGTCTCAACTAAAAATACAAAATTTAGCCAGGAGTGGTGGTATGAGTCTCTAATCCCAGCTGCTCAGGAGGCTGAGGCAGGAGAATTGCTTGAACATGGGAAGCGGAGATTGCAGAGAGCCGAGATTGTGCACCACTGCACTCCAGCCTGGGCAACAGAGCAATTCTGACTCAGAGGAAAAAATAAAAAAAAAGGGAAAAAGAGGACAGAAGGAAGAAGGGGAGAGGAAGGAAGGGAGGGAGGGAGGGAGAAGACAAGAAAAGTAATAGACCGATAAGAAAAAAGAAATAAAGAAAATAAACTAATACAAAATATTTATTTTAACTTGAACAAGTATTCTTAGAATAAAGTTATCCTCTAATATATCAGCAGACTTTGGATTAATAATATATTCTTGCGGTTTGTATCTTTCTTTCTTCTTTGTGTTAATAGTTTTGTTTGTGGTCTAGTACCGTTACATAATAGCATTCCATTTTAATAACATGGAACTAGCTTTATTCAAAAAGATCAGAGGATACATATATTTTCTAATATGAATGTCCTTTAATTTATAGACTTGCCTAGTGCATACCAAAAAGCTTCTTTATAGGACTAAAACTGCATTCATGATAATCTCAATTTTGTTATTTTTGGCATTTGGGCTCCTGATTTGAAATCTATTCCAATGTCCTGCTTAAGAAACGGATCCAGGCCGGGCGCAATGGCTCAAGCCTGTAATCCCAGCACTTTGGGAGGCCGAGGTGGGCGGATCACAACGTCAAGAGATCGAGACCATCCTGGCTAACATGGTGAAACCCCGACTCTACTAAAAATACAAAAAATTAGTTGGGTGTGGTGGCGGGCGCCTGTAGTCCCAGCTACTTGGGAGGCTGAGGCAGGAGAATTGCTTGAACCTGGGAGGTGGAGATTGCAGTGAGCCGAGAGTGCCACTGCACTCCAGCCTGGTGCCTGGCAACAGAGCGAGACTCTGTCTCAAAAAAAAAAAAAAAAGAAAAAGAAAAAAAAAGAAACAGATCCAATTTGAATTACTTAACTTAGTTTCTATTCAATGTTTTTGTTTCCTGGCACTCAAACAATTTATGAATATTTTATCATATGCCATATTTAACCATCTTGTTTTCTTTTTTGTTTTTTGAGACAGAGTCTCACTCTGTGGCCAGGCGCCAGGCTGGAGTGGCACGATCTCGGCTCACTGCAACCTCCGTCTCTCAGGTTCAAGCAATTCTCCTGCCTCAGCCTCCCAAGTAGCTGAGACTACAGGCGTGCACCAATATGCCCAGCTAAGTTTTGCATTTTTAGTAGAGACGGGGTTTCACCATGTTGGCCAAGATGGTCTCGCTCTCTTGACCTAGTGATCCGCCCACCTTGGCCTCCCAAAGTGCTGTGATTACAGTCGTGAGCCACTGCTCCCGGCCAACCATCTTGTTTTCTTTGTATGGATGTACACGTATACACACCAGGGGTTTGACATGTTCAACATATATTTGAAAGGCAGAGTGTCTGTATTGCCCTTAGCTTGAGGAATCTGTATACATGAGATGTGGCCCATGTAAATGAAATCCCCCAACACCTTCTCTTTAAAGACAAGAGTATTTCTTGTGTTCAAATAAAGCTATGAAGACAATCTCCAAAGAAGCTTTTGCTGGGATCAATAGCTGGAAATTGAATAGAAAAATATCTCATGCTGCTTTATAGAATTTTCAAAAGGTTTGTACCATACAAACCCAATTTCTCAAGCTTCACATTTGGATTTATTATCTTGTTTAATTTCTCTAAAAAGAAAACAAACACTATTGATAGATTAATAATAAATTAATCTCAGAGAAGTTTTCCTTAAAAGAAGCAAAGACATGCTTATTTAGAGCTCTTGCTCTCCTTTACCTCAGTTGATCTGATACTTTAAGGCTTTGATTGAGAAGATTACGTGACATTTTCCCTTTTTATGTTGACCTGTATGAAATTAAAAATACGTTTTATCTGTTCAATTCTGTTTCTTACATATTATATTCTTATGTTAAAACGATTATCTCAACATAAAACAACCTAATGTTGTAAGATAATTAAAATAACAAAACCAATTTATTTATATTTATTCAATATCAAAATCTGTATTATGAAAAATTTCCTGAAGTACTAATTACATTTCCAGCCTTCATTTACTTGTTTCTTATCTTTGAATTGTAGGAAATATACATTTTATGTGATTTAAAAACAATATTCTGGGCCGGGCACGGTGGCTCATGCCTCTAATCCCAGCACTTTGGGAGGCCAAGGAGGGTGGTTCAGGAGGTCAGGAGTTCAAGACCAGCCTGGTCAAGATGGTGAAACCCCGTCTCTACCAAAAATACAAAAATTAGCTGGGTGTGGTGGCAGGTGCCTGTAATTCCCACTATTCGGGAGGCTGAAGCAGAGAATTGCTTGAACCCAGGAGGCAGAGGTTGCAGCACTGCATGGCAGCCTGGGCAACAGAGCCAGACTTCATCTCAAAAGACAAAAAGAAAGAAAGAAAAAATTTTGAAATAAAAGTTTCATTTGATAAAACCTCTTTTACCATTGCTCAATTTCTGAGTATTTTAAAAATATACATAAATAGATGTTCTCAATTTAATGTATGGTTGAATTGTGATTTCTTTTATTCAGTAATAATTTGCCAAAGGCAGTCCAATTTTATTATGGATTCCAGACAAAATATAAGCATTTTATGAGTTGAAATTCTATAAAAACTTACAAAAGGAAAACAAAGTAATTTTTGCTGAGACTCTTTAGAGCTTCCTATAATACAGTCCAAATTTAATCATTATTAATAAACATCCAAAGTTGACAAAGAGTTAAAGCAGTTTGAGTCTATGATCAATCCTTCCTGCATTTAATATTGATACCTTTAATTATAATGTCAGCATCCCAAAATGAATAGGTTTATTTCCCTTAGGATCAGACCAATGTTTTTCATTTTTATTGATACATTATTTTATAACAAAGATATTGTAACCCTATTTTTGAAATCGATAAACTATATTAGCATGCGCCATCAATAAGTGAGGCTGAAGGGAAAATATGAAATAACACTAAGATAGCAGATTGTGTAGATTTCTGTCTCAGATACAAACCTGAAACTACATACATTATACACAAACCTGTTGTGAGGAGTTCCCAGAGCAAATTATTTAATTTAGTTTCATATGCCCAGAATCAAAGGAATCATGTTCAAAATAAAAGATAATGATGCATAACTCCTTATATTTGTTTAGCTTGGCTATTAATATTCTTAACATGCTTCATTTTTAATCACTGAACATAATTTTAGATACATAAATCTGTTAGTTTCCTGGTATATATTTTGTCTTAAATTTCTCATGGGCAATGGAAGTTGTTTACAAATAAATCAAAGTACACATATCAAACTTGAAAATTTCATTGTTTGTGCAATTTAATAAGAACTTTAATTTAAAATGATAAAGTACTCAGAAAGGGTGAATATAGGAAATAATAAAACAATTCAGTAATAAATAATAGTAAAAGACAATAGCTGTTGGAGTTAAGTACCCTGATATCTGATTTGGTTTGACTCTGTGTCCCCACCCAAATCTCATCTTCAATTACAGCTCCCATAATTCCCACATTTTGTGGGGGGGACCCAGTGGGAGATAATTGAATCATGAGGGCAGTTTCCGCCATACCGTTCTCATGGTAGTGAATAAGTCTCACGAGATCTGTTAGTTTTATAGGGGGTTTCCGCTTTTGCTTCTCTCTCATTCTTTCTTGCCAGCACCACGTAAGAAATGCCTTTCGCCTTCCACCTTCCCAGCCACATGGAACTGTGAGTCCATTAAACCTATTTTTCTTTCCAGTCTCAGATATGTCTTCATCAACAGCATGAAAATGAACTAATACATTATTTTACGATGTAATTTAGTATCAGTAGAGTGGGGCACTGCTGTAAAGCAGCTTCCACTGCTGGACTCAGGAAACATGCTGGCACCTGGGAGATTAGAAACGCTAAGAACCACAGAGCCCCAAAGAGAGTGTCACAGCCTTGACTCAGGGAGCTCCTAAGTCTGGGCTTCCCGAAGGGCTGCAGCTCTTCTCTCCTTTTCTCTTTCTCATCACCCACAACGTGACAAGTGTTTCTGTTACTGTTCTTTCAGTCCCACCATTAGGCAGGTGCTGAGTTGTTGTCCTACTTCCAGGAAGAATGAGGTACGCAGACAAATGGAGGCAGAGCAAAATGAAGAGCTGTTTTATTGAGCAACAGTACAGCTCTCAGGAGATCCTAAATGGATAGCTTCTTTCCATAGGCAGGTTGTCCCAATGAGTGCAGCGCTCAGCAGAAAGGAGTTGGCAGCTCCTATCTGCAGGCAGATCATCCCTGTGTCTTTGCAGCCTCACTGAAAAAGAAACCCAGAGTGGGTAGCTCTTATCTGCTGGCAGGTCATCCTGTCATCTGCCTGAGTCAGGGGTTTTAATGGGCTTCAGAGGGGAGGAAGTGCATGTTGATTCATCAATGGGTGGCCATGGGTGGGCCCAGAAAAATCACCATAAGCTCTCACTCTGGTCCATGAAACTGGCATCCTGGCCCCCAGGCTTCAGGCCATCCTTGGCTTTTAGCTGGGGTTTCACCAAAGACCCACTCCCTTCCATAGAGGAGCCTATTTGCCTCCTGCCTCCATCAACCTCCTGACCATGGCACCCACAGGGCCTAGGTTGTTTGTGCCAAGGGGCATCTGCAGGCCTGTGACAAGCTGCCCTCAGGCCCCTCTCAGTCTCTCTCCTGTGCTTTTTAGGGCCCAAAGTCTGGAGGGGGCTGAGGCAGCAGGCAGCTGGTGTGTCAGCACCACTACAAGAGTGCTCACACCCAGGCAGGTTGTGACAGCACCAAGACTTGACCACAATTTTGCTCTGAAATTGGAGTGGACACTAGAAGTGGGGAGAGGCCAGTCAGTGGAAGCAGGCACTCCTGAGCCTCTAGGGCTGAGAGGGGGTGGGCTTCCTAGGCCCCCCACTGAGAGCGCAGGGATCTCTAGGCTTGCAGCTGTGTCTGTGCAGCTGCAGCTGTGCCCAGGAGGTTGGGGCACCCACCCCTCTGACTCAGAAGGGGGCAGGGCTCCTGCTTGTTCCCAGCTTTCACTGGCTCCATGGAGCAGGCAGCTCTGGTCGCACCTCCGCCACTGCAGCCGGAATCATGGCAGTGGCAGCTCTAGATGGGCCACCATCAGTACATACAACATTGCTTTATGTAACTTTTCTAAATCTTAAAATCCATTTCAGTTTTAAGGGGCAGTTTGTAATTTCCTTTACATAAATTTGCTTATTTTACTTGATGAGACTGTAATCTCCCTATAAATTAGGACTATGGACTACGTCTATTATAATAAGCATTTTATTTTCATTGATTAGTAGAGTAACACTGAAAAAAATCATTGAACAAACATTAAATCAAAAGTTAGTTAATTAATGGGTACTCCTTGAGATCATCTAAGAATTGATTGGAATTGTGTCCATTTATCAATTGATTAATGACAATTCAACTTTCTGATGGTAATTTCATTAAGAAACTCCTAGAAAACTGTCCTAATTTCCAACTTATGCCAATGAGAGAAAAAGGAATCATGCACTCTCTCCAATTCGATGTAGCTCGTCACTCTAAGCATCTTCCTGATCAAATTCTAATTGCAATTGTCTTTTTCTAAAATGTCTTCTATTTTGGTACTAGATATGCATTGAGAAATAGTAAGGTTTAACTTTCTGAAGACAGCTGGGTTTTATGAACTTTATTAAAAGTTATTTATCTAAAAATAACATAATCAGAAAATATGACTGATCTTTTGAACACTTTTGACTAATTTACTGATGTTTCTGTATGCTAGCTTGCTATAATTAACCTTAAAATTGGAAAAATATTTTGATATTAAAAATAAAAGTAGAGTGTGTTTTTGTAAGCATGCTTCTTATTAAAATGTATGATAAACTGTTTTCTTTCATTAAATGGAAGTCTGACAGAAAAACATGTTTATAAGCACACATTGAGAATATGTCATTAAGATACGTGTTATTAAAACATTCAATTACCACATATTTCTTTGAGAAACAGCTAGTGCTTTGCTGTTTCTATGGTGTTCAACTTCTATTTGCTTTTACATTATTTTAAAACAGATATCTACTGAGTGATATAATTCTGAAATTAATATTAACACCTAGAATAATTATGCCTGGATTTTAATTATTGTTTTAATATTTTATTATAATTACTATTACTACTATTGTCATTTTGCAAATGAGATACAAAAGAAACAATAAGATTCTATTGCCTATAAGTCCATCATAATTAGTTTTGGGCAAATGGCTATGTAACAGAGCAGCTTGACTTCAAAATGCATTTTTAAACTTTTTTTTCCTCTTTTTTCCCTAGTCTCAAGACATAACCTTGAAGCAAACTGCAGAAGCCTTTTCTCTTTAATATTAAAGCAGACTCCACGTATCTCACTTTCCCATGTATACTCCTTTCACATTTATCTAACTGTATGCTAGTATCTAATTATGTGTTTACTTGGAAGATTTGGGGGCTAATCTTGAGACAGAGAGTCCAAGCCTGGAGACCCAGATGCAAAATTCCAGATATAACCTCAAGGCGGATAGTCAACATCTTGACCACTGTAGAGGTGATGCCAGCCTCCACTCAAGGTGGACTCTAACCCAAGATAGCCACTGAAACAAGAAATACAAACCTTGTACCCAGCACAACTCCTGCATGCCTTTTATATCAAGTCCTCACTTTTTAAAATCTTGCCTTCTCCCTAGAAATTTGAAGTGGCTACTTTGGATGAGAATCTGGCTACTTCCTATTGCTGGTTTTGGCTGATAAAGTCACATTACTTTCTACCATTCTTCACTCTCATCACTGTACTCTCCAAGTGGTGAGCAGCTGGACCTCTGTTCTGTTACAGCTACTTTGTGTTGAAGCCTATCAAATTAACTAAACATTATTAAAATTAGAGAATATTTAAGTAAGACATGTTCTCACAGCATTTTTTGGAAAAAAGGGAGTTAGTGTGATATGTAGTAATCATGATGCTATGGTCATCTCTGAGATTTATAAAGATTAAGGTGTTTGATGTTATAATACCCAGTTTTGGTAAGATGTGAGAAAACAAATACTCTTAAACACTGTTAGTGGGAGTATATCTATTTTGGGGAGGGCCATTGCATGGCAATAATCATTACTAGTGGACATACCCTGAGCTCTAATAATTCTACTAGAGATTTGTCATACTGATATTCTCCCATAGGATGGCCAAGGAGATAGATTTATATATGTGTACGTATTTGTTTTTGTGTGTATACTTGATTATGCATAGAAAACATCTGAATGTACAAATAAAGATAAGAAATGTGTTGTGGGGAAGACTTTCTTTCTGTGTAATTAAACATACATTTTTAAACAATGCAATAAACTTTAGTGAAAATATAATGCAACTTTCAAAAGTATTTTTAGAAAAGGAATATTTAATGTGGGTCAATGAAACATTTTAAATAACAAAAAATCCTCGGAAAACAGAGAAAAAAGATCAATGTAAATGGCATGCCATATTTATCTTTAAAAATATTTTAATTACCTGCTTATGTGCCTGCATACGTTAGTAGAGCTGGAAATGTGCTTTCAGTACTGAAATGTCTGTAAAGAAATGGGCATTGTTAGAAGCATTATTAAATCATTTTTTTTAAAGGTAATCAGTTATTTAATTAGATTATTAGGACATTTAAAACACCAATTTGTGAGGATAAATTCCATTTGTCAGGGCAAACACAGATCGCAGATAGCCCTGGAGCTGAGGAATAGCTTTGATTTTTGGTAAAACTTGTGAGTCCACAGCTTTCTGATCAATCTTGCGCTGCTCTGTTATCTCGTATTTCTCTTTTTCTGTGTCGAAGATCTCACCTTCCTGGTGTCTGGGCTTCCGCAGCTTCTTCTTCTTATAATTTATAGTATTTGTAATGAGGTAACTGCCTGCTTTTTCTATGTTAATTCAATGTAAATGCAAGATATTTCTTTTTATTTTATTTATTTACTTTTAGATTTTATAGAGATGGGCTTTCTTTATGTTGCCCAGATTATTCTTGAACTCTTGGGCTCAATTGATCTGCCTACCTCAGCCTCCTAAAGTGTTGGAATTACAGGCATAGGCCACCACACCCAGCCATACTATGTCTATTTTAAAAATTGTAAATTTTTTATTGATTTTTATTTTTATTATGGCCACTAAAATGCTATTTATTTCAACATATCTACTAACATTTTAGTAAGCCATGTTCTTATTTCATTCTGATTTGTGGCTATTTTTTCTTTACAAATTTTCAAGCAATTGATGTTTATTATTTTACTTAATGAAACTCTGATTTTCCATGAAAATAGTTAAGCAGTATTTACTATGTCTATGACAGCAAAAAATAAACCCCATGTCCTAAAAATCTCAAGACATAATTCTCATCATCATAGTTATAGCAGTAATATAAAACCTCAGAAAATGATAGTGTCCTCTCCATAAACAGATCAGTCAAATACTTTAATTCATCAAGTCTATATCCCAAGATTTGACATTTGTTTGGGGGAATGGGGTTGGCTATTAAATACACACACAAATTTTACAGAAAGAAAATTTGCATATGTCCTGTATTTCCATAGTCTCACAAAACACAATTATCCTGTCATAATGAAAAATAAAACAACTTAAAAACCCAGAAGGTCTATAGCAGGACAAATTCTCATTGTTAATAATACACATCCCAAATATTTGTATCTTATATAAGATTGAGAATATAAAGGTTTAGGTCTTTCCAGGGTTAAAACTTCATAGCTCACTGATTTGTTAAGAAAAACGGAATGAAAATCACCTTTCACCCTAAAGTCAGGTTTGTACCACCGCTTTAAGACATAAAAACAAGGATAAGTTAAAAGGAAGAAGTGTCCTAAATATCTTTCTTAAAAAAAATAAAATGCATGGATTCCTTCTCTCATTCTTTTATCTGAGTTTTTCCCACAAACAAGGAGACAGGAGACTTGACCAGAGCAAGGAAGCTGCTGGGAGCTAGTAGTCTGTAGGTGTCAAAGGGAAGCATGGTGGGGTGTGGGGTGGGGATTGAATTCTCCAGCCTAGTCCTTCCCTTTGCATTTAGCCTACTGTAGTGTGGGTCTGAACCAAAATGCAGAAAACTGTCACCCCTCCTCTCTTCATTGTTTAGTAGTCTTATACTTTCTTCTTCCTGTTCTTGTTTTCCTTTTTGAATTTTTTTTTGGGGGGATGGTAAGAATTGTCCTTTCATAATCATCATTCCTATCTAAAACACTGTGCTTCACAGCCCAGTTCTTAGCAAGGAAATGAGGAAGGAGACCCAGGTATCTAGGATCACCTCCCCCTTGACTTCCACACTGCATTTCTTCTTTTTTTTTATTTGCATGGAAAGACTCCTTTATTTATTCATCAATTTGTTTTTCTTTCTTTTCATTATGCCAAAATGAAATTTTTTTAATTGCATTTTACGTTTGGGGGTACATGTGAAGGATATGCAAGATCGCTGTGTAGGTACACACATGGCAATGTGATTTGCTGCCTTCCTCCCCATCACCTATATCTGGCATTTCTCCCCATGCTATCTCTCCCCAACTCCCCACCCCCCACTGTCCCTCCCCTATTTCCCCCCGACAGACCCCAGTGTGTGATGCTCCTCTCCCTGTGTCCATGTGTTCTCATTGTTCAACACCCGCCTATGAGTGAGAACATGTGGTGTTTGATTTTTTTGTTCTTGTGTCAGTTTGCTGAGAATGATGGTTTCCAGGTTCATCCATATCCCTACAAAGGACATGAACTCATCGTTTTTTATGGCTACATAATATTCCATGGTGTATATGTGCCACATTTTCCCTGTCCAGTCTATCATCGATGGGCATTTGGGTTGGTTCCACACACTGCATTTCAGTAGAAGGAAAGGCTGGCCGACTGGCACCTCCTAAATCACCTTTCTGTAAATAGCAGGCATGGTATGGAGGAATCTCTCCGGAAAACATTGTTTTTATCCATCAACCAAGACCCTTTCAGATGTAATTTCTAAATCTATAAGCCCAAGTCCCTTTCATTTGTAATTTCTAAGGCTGTAAACCTAAGATCCTTTCAGGTGTAATATCTAGAGTGTAAGCCTATATAAAGGCAGAGTTTCTCTTTGCTGGGCGAGCTTGGCAGTTAGACAACACATGTCTCCTCTCTCCCGGGCCGTAAAAAAACACCTCTTCCTTCCTAGTTCGGTGTCTGAGAGGTCTGTTTCTTGCAGTGGATCCTGCTTCAGAAACATGCACACATTCCCCTGGAAAGCCATGGACACATACATACATTGGCAGGGGCAGGGGGCATGATCAGCGGGGGTTTTGGCAGGGGTTGGCCAGAGATGGACAGACAATAGAAGCAATTTATACCAAGAGTACTCAGATATTCAGAAGGAATTGAGAAGACTGAGGAGATACCAAGATGTCAACTTTCTAAGGTGGCAAAATCTTTCCAGAGTTTCCAGAGCATTTTGATAGGCCCCCTCTTCCTTTGTTATTCTACAATACAAGGAAGAAAAGCTTTCCTCTTAGCCCACTCCAGTGCCAGTCACAGTCATACATCATCTTCCTGCCATCCTGAGCCATTATTTTGCATCTTGACAGTAATAGTCCTGAGGTGCAATGGGAGAAAATTGAGTCCTAAAGTGTTTGTTTTTTTTTTGTTTGTTTGTTTGTTTTTTTTGAGGCGGAGTTTTGCTCTTGTTACCCAGGCTGGAGTGCAATGGGGCAATCTCGGCTCACGGCAACCTCCGTCTCCTGGGTTCAAGCAATTCTCCTGCCTCAGCCTCCTGAGTAGCTGGGATTACAGGCACGCACCACCATGCCCAGCTAATTTTTTGTATTTTTAGTAGAGATGGGGTTTCACCATGTTGACCAGGATGGTCTCGATCTCTTGACCTTGTAATCCACCCACGTTGGCCTCCCAAAGTGCTGGGATTACAGGCTTGAGCCACCACGCCCGGCCAAGTCCTAAAGTTTTATCACAAACAAGCAAACAAAAATTAAGGCCTATGAATCAAACATCACAGATTAGAGGTTGCCTATTTTTCCACAAAACACTGACAAGCACCTCAGGAGAGGTATAAAAACACTGTGTAAAATCATTTGCACAGTACTGATGTGGCTGAGATTATCTCTGTATCTTCTAATGGTGATCAGCATCACTTACAAGAAAAAGGAAGTAAAGAATTAGCCACTTTCCTACCCTTATTTGAAATTTGAGCCAGGTTTTGTGGAAATCTGGGGTTGAAGAAATCCTTTTCTTTCTTTAAGGCTCATTGTCCTTAAGCTGTTTTGGCTTCTTCCACCAGGTCTCACCCTTTTCTTTGTTATTTACGGTTATTGCAGACACCCTGCTACCAACTCATTTGGATTAGGAGCTTGCTGGTTTAGTATTTAGTGCTTTGAGGCTGAAAACTGACAACTAAAATCAGTGGTTCCAGGAACCCACCAACATTGTAATTGTCACCCTCAAGACCCACATTTCAGGGAATTCATTGCCTTCCTAAATAACGTTTTCCCTGTCTTCAAATGTTCCATAGTGCAAACGTATCAAATGTTTTCTTTAAAATGCATTTTATCTATGTATCAGATATCAAACATCAGCTATATTTCATTCTAAAGTTTGACTCTAATAGCATTTTCTCCTATAAAATGTACATACAGAACATAACTCAGAAGGCATGGACTCCAGTTACAAAAAAAGTCATCTACAACTTATTTAAAATTACACACTTGTCAAATATTTCAGAATCCAATTCAATTTACCTTCCATTTAAGCCACTTGAAAAGGGCAAATATAAAATATTTAATTCAAGATGAATTCAGGGCATTGCAAACTGTCAGCAGATGGAGCCATTCTGCAACATACACTTACAATTTTTTCAACTAGGAAAGCAGACTAAAAAATTGTTTAGTATTTTAACTACATTCTTGTTTCATAAGATGATTAAAATTCACCTTAAAAAGTTTACTTATCTATAATTTAGAATACTATTTATTATATGTTTTCTTCTAAGTGTGAGCCATAAATATGCTAATATAAAAACTGACTTCTAATCATAATCGTGGTTTGAGAAAAATAATTGGGAAATTTAAGTTTGAAAACAAAATGTATCGTATCCATGCAATGGAAAAGCACATACATCTAGTTCTATTCACACACAAAATATAACACAAGGAAAGAGATTCTCCTTTTACAATAATTCCTACAATAAACACAAGCATGTTTCTCTTTTGATTTGACTATATGAAGTTTCCATTTTGATTTTCAAAAAGTAAAACCTTTTAGAAATCAAAGTTGCTGGATTAAAGAACTAGGAGAAGCAATTAGAAAGTATTCTCAGCATCTAAAATTAGCTTTTCACCTAATAGGCAGTAAACATACTTTTCTATTGGTGGGGAAAGAAGAAAGATGCTGGCTTAAAAGGTAACTTTGATTTTAATTTCCTATTTCTTCAACCCCTTAGAAGTTTTCAACCTTAACTGTGTTCCAACCTTCAGTTCTGTATCACCAGTCAACTCCACAGCATAATTTTGGGGGAATAATTAGAGAACTGGCCAGAGTAATTATTTTACGC